CAAAACTAGCATAAATTTCCTTTTTCTTCACAATTTCACGAATAGAAGTTTCGTTCTACTGTAGATCTTGGCAACCTCAGCTTATGATTTTTTTTCTTTCCTTATTCAGTTGAGAACTTTCGCCTTTTCACTTAAAGGGAGCACTTGACGGTTTCTCTTTGGCATATCCGAATTACCAGCATCACTAGTCTCGTGCTTTGGGGCCATGATTAAGTAAGATAAGGGTTACTGGAGTGCAAGCCCTGCGATCCCGCCACAGTCCATCTGATAGCTGGGACGGCTACTGAGTGACTAACGGCGAGAAGCGGGTACCAGGTGGACCTCGGGATGATTTATATCTCAGGCGGGATGGAGCGGGACAGCATGAGATTTCATCACGCTACTCTGTATGTGTGCAATTTAAAACTTGTCGAGTGTTGACTTCTGGAATTTTCCATTTAATATTTGCAGACTGCGGTTGACAGCGGGTAATGGAAACCTTGGAAAGCGAAACCGCGAATAATGGGAGCTACCGTAGTAACGAGAAAGCACCACGACTCATCGCCTTCCGAAAAAAAGCTGTTCCGACCAAACAGGCAGGCTCCCCCCTCACTTGAGATGTGCCCACGATGGCCGTCCATCCCATGACCCAGAAGCCGGGCTGCCCGATGGCACTTGAGAGTCGATTTTGAAGACCCTCGTGCCCAGCCACCTTCCCATCTGGCGGCTTGTTTTTTCGAGACATAGAAGGTGGTCTGCCCACTCAGGGAGTGCCCGGAGCCTTCCCTCGGGATGCTGGGTCAGGTGGCTGGAGTCGTTAACCTGCAGCTGACCATGCCTCGTTTAGCGGGTTTAGCTAAAGGGGTGGGGCTCATAGGACAAAATGTGGCACCAAAGAAAGAGCTGGGATAGGAACCAGGGGAAGAAGGTTGACCAGAGGATGCCTGTGACTATCAACGTGCGAGGCTAGAAGAGTGTCAGTCAATTGTCCAACGGCAAGTGCTCTCCCAATGTTTTGTCCACACAGAGCCAAACATCCACGGAGAGGAAACCCCTCCAGGGGTCCAAACTCCCCGGGCTCCTCGGCTCCCATCAGGAGGCGTGCTCTACCTCCCTTCCCTTTGAGAAAAAGGCCTCCATTTCACTTTCAGGGGAAAACAAACTTGCTAGGTAAAAAAAGCAAATCTCTAAAATAATGCGCTTGAGACATGTACAAACCCCCCAGCCATCCTCCAGGTCAAGAGCTAAGGGCTGCAGCAGCAGTTGGAGAGTTTTAAATGTGCGCCATTTTATTTTCTCACCTAACAGAGCCGACCCAGCTGCTCTCTTGCTTGAACATTCCCTGGCTCCCTGTTACCCGCAGGATAAAACTGAGCTGCGGGGCTGGGCACCCAGCCCTCTTAGAGCCTGTATCTCCTGCCCTGCCCTGCCCTGCTGACACTGACCTGCATGCTCTGCTCTTTCCCGCCTCCAGGTCATCACTCACGTGGTAATGTCTGTTGAAACATCCTTTCTACCCCCACCTCCTCTTTATATTCCTTTAACTCTGTGCATCTTTTTATATCGAACCTCTGGTCACCTCCTCCAGGAAGCCTTCCTGAGCCTCAATTCAGGGTTAGATGCCACTCAATCTGTATTTCTCCAGCAATCTATCTGGTTTTTTTTTTTCTAATGAAAATTTCCAAACACAGAATGAACTTGGCTATACCTACCCCTAGTTTCAACTGTTGACATTTGCCATGTTTAGATTATCCATCAATTTATATACACGTTCTTTTCCAGGTCACCTGTAATGTGACAATCTGTTCACATCTCTGTCTCTCCCCTTAGCCTGTGAAATTCACTTGTGCACCCATTCACTTGTTCATGGATTCACCGCCAGGCACTATTTTCTGATGGCCCACTGTCTGAAGACACGATACTAAATCCTAAGGACCAAGGTCGGGCCCGGACAGCAGAGTCTCTGCCTTCTGTTCCAGCGGAAGAGACAGACGACAAATAAGTAGACAAATAAGATAATTTCACACTGTGATGAGTGAGGGGCATCAGCAGAACTCCATGGCGAGTGACTGCCGCATCTCTGTGCCCCCAGCATCCCGCACCACGTCCACAAACGTTGGCTGTGCTGCCCAGCCAGGTGCTCCGACCACAGGGTCCCACCGCGGCCTGTGCTCTGGGGTCACTATGGCAACCGTCCTTTCCTTCCGCCGGCCCCCGTGAAGGGGGACGGGGAAGGGGACCAAGACCACTGAGGAGCCGCCCCACCTGCTCAGGCCTGAGACCCCTGCCTTCCGCGGTCTGCTCTCAGGATGACTTCTCAAGTGTGAGAACATCTGGCTCGCAAAACCAGGTGAATTTATCAATGGTCCCCATCTGGCCTATTTCTGGATCAGTCTGAGGAGCTATAATGTCAATGGGCGAAGGCAACACAGACAAAATACAAGAGGCTGGGGCCAGCCCCCAGGGGCGGACTTGGGCAGCTCTGCTGAGCTCGTGGGTCTAGGGCTCCGTGGAACAGGTGGGGGTCCTCGGAGCCCTTCACTGCGCACCTGAGTAACTGTTGCGGGGGAGTTATGGAGGGCGGTCCTGCTGGGAAGAGGTGGCATACGGAGGCCCGTACCCACTCCCCCACCCTACACTGAGATCTCTGGAGCACCTATTAGGGGCCACCTGCCTAGACGCCTGGGGGGACCTCGGAGGCCAGCTCTGGAAAGCAAGCCTGCCCTGGCTGCAGAAGAGAAAGATCCTCCAGGTTTATCCATCCTGGGCCAAGGCAGGCACTGCTGTCATTACAAGATCGAGTATAACAGCAACAGCAACATTTACCGATCACTTACTTTGGGCCAAACCCTGTTTTAAGCTTTGACACATAACAGTGCCCTTAATTTTCAGAACAACCCTCTAAAGTAGTTACTATTATCATCCTCTCTTACCAAAAAGAGAAAAAAGGGAAATGGGAGCACAGAGAGGTTAAGTGACTTGCCCAACAACACACAGCCATGAAGTCGCCGACCCGGGATACAAACCCAGGCTGGCTCTAGATCCAGTGCTCTACACCACAGAAGTCACTCAGACTCAAACCAGAAGTGTTTCTTCTAGAGGTACAAGACTGCTGAGTGAGTTACCCTTTGTAATCTCACAGTTACGGTGGGCAGTGGGGCAGTGGAATGATGGGGTTTGGGCTTGGGTTTGAATCTGGCTCGGCCTCTGTTTTCTCAACTGGAAAATGGGGATGATAGAGCTCCCTCACCCCCAGGCTTCTCCGAGGACTAAATGAGGCGATCCACGTAAAACGTGCAAAAATGTTCAAACCTACACAAAAGTTGCAAGGACAGCTCAACAACCACTGCTTGTTCATACTCTGCCACATTTGTACCTGATATTTCACCCTGAAACCCTCCAGCCTGCATCTTCTAAGAACAAGGACATTCTCCTATATAACCTCAGTACAGACGATGTGAGATACACGGTATTTCATTCGCAGTCGGGAAATTCATCACTGACATAATACTATTAGCTAATATATCTACATGCAGATCCCCCGACTTGTCCCCAAAAGGTGTCTTGTGGCTGTTTTGTTTCCCGGATCCAGGCTCCACCCAGGATCCCTCAGATGCCCCTTTCATCGCCTTTCAGCTGGAACCATTCCTCAGCCCTTCTGCCTTTTATGACGTTGGCGTTCTAAGAGTTCAGGCTAGATGCTCTGCCTGCATTTCATCTTAATCACTATTTGTCTTTAAGTCCTTGTAAAATAAACTGCAGCTCAGGGCGAAGGGGGAGGGAGAGAGAGGTCTGCGGGGGACACGATGCCCGAGGTACAAGGTACGGGGGTCGGGCCAGGGAGGGCGCACAGCACTGGCTCCACTCGGGTGGAAGTGAAAGATTTCCTGGAAGCAGTGGCAGAGGACGCTTCAAGGTGATGAGAGCTCTGGCGGGTGACCGAGGTGGCAGGGCCACTGCAGACAGAGGCCACGGCGTAGGGGAACCAGAGCGGCAAACAACAGCAACGCCTCTCCGTGTGAGGGCACTGCGCCGTGATCACGGTCTGTTCCTACTTGGACCGGAACCTTCCAGAGGCCGGTCCTTGTGTCTGGATCTGGCCTTGCCCCCCAGGCGCCCACGGCGTGTCCAGCCCCCACTCAGCATCCAGTCACAGAGCGCCTGGCCCCCAGGTCTCCCAGATATTCAGGGAAGGGCGACTCCCCTCCAGGGCTGACGTGGCTGCCAGCTCTCACATACGCACTGCAGGATCGTAAAGGGCACAGCCTCAGGATTCCCACACCTTCCCTGCCAATGAAACGTGGCTTTCTCAACCTGCTTCCTTCAGGCCGCCTCTTGGGGAATGGGCCGCTCCTGTGAAAAATTTCAAAATGAACCTCTAACTGCCCGCAGAAGGAAAGGATGCCAGGGGAGTCACTCTCCAGTTTCCTCCACCTGCTCTGGGCATCAGCCATCCAGGTTGCCAAGCGAGTGATTCTCACGGAAACTCCTTCTGTCTTATGGGGAGAAGAAAGCAAAATGCCCTCTGATCGCGTCCCTGAGCCTTCCTTTCCCCTGGGTTTCAGAAAGAAAGGGGTGTGTGTGTGCTGTTTTAGCCCTTAGAATGGAAAGGAAGGGTTTATTTTGGGGCTTGAGCAAAGACGCCTTTTCAAGGTGACCCTCACTTCATTTCCTGGGACCAGAAGGCAGACGACTGTAGAAATGGTTCTGCCAGCCCACGGACTAAAGCAAAGCCCTTATCTGTCACTTTAATACCCATCATTGTTTATTTTGTTCCCGCCGTAAAGGGGCTCATCTCCTGGTGTTCTCTCCACAAAGCATCCTTGAAAAATCTGTCCTGTACCTTTGTGTGTCCTTCAGACCGAAAGCTACACACGTGTGCATGGGTACACACACACACACTTGCATGCCCAGTCCCACAGCTAACAGTCATCGACACACGCTGAGACGCACCCCCACATGTCAGCAGATACATGCAAATCCACGAGGAGACACACACACACACACACGTCTGCACTCACAGTTGGCAGGGTCCTGAAGCAAGCCCAGCTCCCAACTGCTTGAAATGCCTCCTCTATGTCATTCTGCAGAGTCCCAGGGACCCGACCGGCTGGTTCATCCTAAGAGGGGCCGCCTGGCACCAGCTCCCCCTCAGGAGGAGGCTCCGGACTTCCAGGCAGTCCCCAGAACATGGGCTCAGGTACAGGCAGGAGGAGGACTCCTGGAAAAGGATGTGCTCAGGTGGTTCCCAGCAAGAGCTAGAGGCAGAGGGATGGAGAGGAGGTGAAGGAGGCGGGGAGAGTGAGAGACTGCAAGAGGGATTCAGAGAGAGAGATTTTCAGACAGAAGCAGAAAGGAAAAACCCTCACAGAGGCAAAGAGAAAAAGACAGAAAGAAAGAGATGAACAGAGAGAGAAAAATAGAACACAGATTTTTTAAAAAAGATGTTTTAAGCCCAGCTTGATTTCAGCCGGAAAGATGAGCTGGGACCTTCTGAAAAAGGCTGTCTGCCTCCCCTTCCTCCTTCCAGGGGGCCTCTTCCTAGATTTTTCTCTAACAGGCCAGGAAACCCTGAAGCTACAAAGCGGAGACCCAAGCCTTCGATGCCCAAATGGCTTCCCCAGGACTCCGCTGGCGGCGGGGGCTTCAGCAGACCCAGCCTATGACATGGCGGCAGCCAGGAAAGGGCTCGGAGGGGCCCCAAGTCATCTCCAAGACCTCCGGGGGCAGAGGGGCAGCTCCGGCTCTGAAAATCCACCTGACGCCCTCTCCGCGGGGGAGGTTGGGGGAATCCATTACTCTACCACCCCCATTAGAGCCCAAGCTGGGGGAGGGGGCGTCAATGCCTGTCCACAGGGGCCCAGAAGAGGAAGCGGGAATGGTCACAAGATGGGGAGGGGGAGCGCAGGGGGGACGCGGAGCTTTCGGTCACGTGCTGCTCATCAGTTGCCATGACGACGGCAAGGGGGTGGGGGCGCCCAGCCGGGAGGCTGCAAGACAGACCGTGCTGGCTCTAAATCACGGTGACGGCGCTTCAGTTGAGCTATTACGCCGTTGCCGTGGCAACCAATGGGCTCAAATCGCAGAGGAAATCTATAATTATTACTAGCCAGATACCGGCGAACTCCGCGCAGTAATAAGCACGTTAGGGCCGTTCGACCTGAGCTCTGGGAGGGGGAAATGCCGACCTCCAGCCCCCAACTCCGGGGAGAATAAGGCCCAGGGAGACTCCTCAAGGCAGATCTGTTGCTCCAGAATGGGAACCTGGAAGGCTCTCTCAGCCAAATGAAGAGTAAACATTAGGTGAAACCACATGAAATTGCCAGCGTTTGACCATTGGCAAGCATTTCCCGTGAATTTATTGCGGAAATTTCCAACAGGCAGCCAAGTTGGATCTGACAGCGCATACCTGCACACCCACGCCTAGCTTCTGCGGTCCACACTTGGCCACGCCTACTTTATCAGAGATCTACCCCTCTAGCCATCCGTTAACCCTCTATGTTTTGAAGCGTTTCAAAGTAAATTGCAGACATCAGGACCCTTCCCCCTCAAACACTTCAGCCTGCATAAAATTATTTGATCATTTTTGAACAAGAAAAACAGCAATTTTCACATGATTCCATTTAAATAGAATAAAAATTGGGGCTGGCCCCGTGGCCTTGTGGTTAAGTTTGGCATGCTCCACGTCAGTGGTCCAGGTTTGGTTCCTGGGTGCAAACCGACACCATTGGTCTGTCAGTGGCCATGCTGTGGCAGCAGCTCACATACAAAATAGAGGAGGACTGGTACAGATGTTAGCTCAGGCGAATCCTCCTCAAGCAAAAAGAGGAGGACTGGCAAAAGATGTTAGCTCAGAGTAAATTTTCCTCAGCAAAAAATAAATAAAATCAAATCTAGATTTATATCTGTCATCCATCCGTCCATCCACCCATCCATCTTCTTTTCTATCTAGCCACCCACTCAGTCTCTCACTTATCCATCCATGCATCCAACTATCCATCTGTCCACTCACCCATGTTCTTTTCTATCCAGCCATCCACCCAGTCTCCCATTCATCCACCCATCCATCCATGCATCGCTGGGAGATCTCATGCACATGCATGATTTCCACAAATGATTCACCATCCCTGAATCTTCCTTCCTGGTCCAGCAGATACCACCAACAGCATGTCTTACATATTAAGCTCAATATGTTCTCAACTAAAATCATCCTTTTCCCTTCACCACACCTGTTCCCTTTCTTGTGTTCAGCATCTCAGTAAACAGAACCACTGCTACCCACTTGTTCAAGCCAGAAGCCTGAGACCCACCCTAGATCCTCTTTCTCATTACCTTCACTCACCACCACGCCCTGGGATTTTCCACACTAGGCTCAGGTCTCCCCATCCTCTCCTCTCTTTCTCTTGTCCTGGTCCAGGTACGCATCATGTCGTGGCTGCTCAGCTGCCCCAGCCTCCTGACTGGCCTCGCAGCTGTGACCTCACCCTCCCTCTGTTTTCTCCACACTGACTTATTACCATGAAACATCTGGCCATGTTGATGGTGTGGGGGAACGGGCATCTCACGCATTGCTGGTGGGAGCATAAATCTATACAGATATCTTGGAAAGGAATTTATCAAAATCTATAAAACTTTAAATGCACCAACCATTTTTTCCCAGCATAATTCTACTTGAAGAAATTTGTCTCATGGATATAAACTGAAAGCAAGCCACATGTCCATCAGTTGGAGCTGGCTAAATCAATTTTGGTACATCTATAATATAGAATAAAAAGAATGAGGCGGTGCTTTACGTCCTGACACAGAAAGTGTTTAATCTAAGTGAAAGCAAGTTGCCATGGAGCATGTTTGGGCAATGCCTCCTGTGTTCCCCAGCAGCTCCTCTACTTGGCGATCATGTTGGTTAGAGACTTAAGTGGGTACCAAAGTGTCCAGGGAACATGGCTTTATGAGCTGCCTCTTCTCCATCACGTGTCAGCACTAGCTCTTCACTGGGCTGGAGAACAGAAGAGTTGAGGCCAGGAACACCCTTGCTGCCTCTGGAGCCACCCAGATAGTCCATAGCACCCCGCCGGCACCGTCGGGCAAGGTGGGCCCTGCGGGCTGCTGGGAGGTACCATGAATCACTTTTCTCCCTCGCTCAGGGCACGAGTGCGGAAGCTGCCTAACTGCAAGGTGACGCGAGAACGGAACACACCTCGGAGGCGTGGCACGTATTGGGCGAGCACAACAGGATCGACAGGAAAACGCCAAGTTCTAGTTCCTGCTCAGACCTGGAAGGGCTCCTGGGCATCAGTCTGCCCCGCTCTCTAAGGGGCTGAGTGTACCTCCCAGGGTCGTTCTGAAGGTCAAATGCGGCGACGGTGGGGAAAACAGCACTTCAAAGTCATCTTGCTAAACAGATGAGCTATTGTTATTAATTGATCTTTGGGATCTATCAGCCTAATTCTGAATCCTATACAGCCCAGCGCATGTATGAAAGCTGTAAGCTTCGTTTTCATTTGAGCATCTGTTTAGTGCCTGCCGGAGGGAAGCACTTACATATATGATCTCATTTAACTCTCAAAACAACTCTGGTAGTGGGGATTCTTGCCCCCATTTTACAGATGAGGCACAGAGAGGTTAAGGGACTTTCCTAATAGCACCCAAGACTTTCTGACTGCAGAAATGCTTTTCTCATTTCTTAATCACTCTCCTTCTTGAATCAGACCTTTAGGCCAGTGCTGTCGAAAAGAAATATAAATGCAGGTCATGTGTGCCATTTAGAATTTTCTAGTGGCCACATTAAAAAGGAATAGATGAAATGAATGCTAATTTTATGTTCTATTTAACTTGATATAGCCAAAATATCATTTCAACACAAAATCAATATAAAAAACACTTAATAAATATGAATATTCTTTTTTGGGGTCATATTACGTCTTCAGAATCTGATGTGTATGACATGCCTACACCGTGTCTCAGTTCTGACTGCCCGCATTTCACGTGCTCTGCAGCCACGTGTGGCTTTACTGGAGAAGGCATCTTAGGTGGCACTGATCTAGACCTGGAAAGAGTCTAAACCCTAAATAGTGACATTGGCCGCCATTTATGGAGCAGCTGCTATCTGCCTGGCTCTGCTCTACCTGTTTCACCTGTATTAACACCATCTTTTCTCATGACCCCGGGCAGCAGGTGCTCTTACGAGCTACGGAGGAGAAAGAGGAAGAAGCTCAGGGAGTTTAGGCAACAGGCCCAAGATCACAGGGCTAATCATCTGAGGAGCTGGCGTTTGAAGCCAAGTCCCTCCAGAAACCTGGCCCCTCCTGTGGCCTCCAACGCCGCATCTCCTATCACAACGTGTCGGTCACACGGGTCTGTAAGAACTAAATTGCCAAAAAAAGGATTTGACTTGTGCCACTTAATTTTAAGCACTCTGATCCATCAATACAGAAGATCATTTAAGCATTGGTTAAAAAGTAGGTAACTCACTCTGAATTGGTCCCAGCGTGGGATCTCAAGAACTGGTAATACACCAGACACTGAATTCCCCCGTCGGCGCCTCCTTTTGTCTCAATGGGACATGAATTAGAGGGAACGAGCAGGACCAGGCTTCCACCTGCTCAGAGCAGCTCCCTGTGGGACATAACGGTGGCTTCATCCTTATGTGGGATCACCTGTGGGAAGGCCGGGTGGCTCCAGTTCGCTCTTCCCATTCAGGCTGAACATGCCTGCTGATTTTAATGACGACATGTGAGCGCTGGCTATGTTCTACCGGGGATGGGGATGGTGGTGGTGATTTTATGACTGGTTCTGGGATGATCCTGTTCAAAGCCCTGGAGAGGCATGAGCTGGGGTGCTGACCCCCTAACTCCTGGCCAGGATGCACCGGAGTTGAGTGCAGCCAGCTCTCTGGTTCCACAGTGTGGCTGCAGCCTCCAAAAGGCAGGCACCTCTCTCGCCTCTTGCAAACTGGCTTAAAAGTCAACCACGCTTTATCCCTGACTTTGTGACCGGGAGCAGAATTACCTGGTCCTCGGCTTGAGGATGAAACCAGAGAAGGGAAGAGGAAAGGGAACTCTGGTCTGCCTCACATATGTCTCTAAAGCATCTGCTTCCCCCCTTCTCATTTCCATGACCTCCTCCAGACCACCCCGTCACCTCTTACCAGGACAACTGCAGGGGTAGAATCATCCTCTGCTTCCACCCCCTTAGCCTGTCACTCCTCAGCTCAACATCGGTTCCCAGTCTTCCATGAGGCCTGAGAGACAGCCTGAGCCACCCCTGCCTGCCTGTCTCTCCTAACTCATGCCATTCTGC